CTACCAAGACATGGAATCATAGCAGCTCTACCTAATAACATAGAAACAAACACAGGGAGGCTGCCAAAACGAGGAGACAAAGAAACATGGCAAATGAAAGAATAGATCAAAACTGTAGAAAAAGAGCTAAACAAAATGGAGATAAGCAATCTATCAGATGCAGAGTTCAAAACACTGTTTATAAGGATACTCGAGTAACTTAGTGAAGACCTTGGCAGTTTAAAAAAGACCCAGTCAGAAATGAAGGATACACTAATTGAAATAAAGAACAATTTACAGGGACAACAAGAGTAGAGCAGATGAAGCCAGGAATCAAATCATCATTTGGAATTAAGGAAGCAAAAACAACCAATCAGAACAACAAGAAAAAAAAGAATCCAAGAAAATTAAGGTAGTATAAACAACCTCTGGGACAACTTTAACAGGTCCAACATTTGCCTCATGGGGCGCCAGAAGGAAAAGGGAAAGAGCAAGACATTGGAGATATATCTGAACAAATAGTGAAAGAAAACTTCCTTAATTTGGTGAAGGAAATAGACATGAAAGTTAAGGAAGTGCAGAGAGTCCCAATTATGATGGATGCAAAGAGGCCCACTCTAAGACACATCATTATTAAAAGGCCAAGGGTTAAAGATAAAGAGAGGCTCTTAAAAGCAAGAGAAAAAAAGTTAGTTACTAGAAGGTTGCCATATGGGAGGGGGAAGGAGAGAATGGGTGAAGAGGTGAGAGGATTAAGAAGTACAAATAGGTAGTTACAGAATAGCCATGGGATTGTAAGGTACAGTATAGGAAATAGAGTAGCCAAAGAACTTATACTCGTGATCCATGGACATGAACAATGGTGGGGGGATTGCCTGAGGGAGTAGGGGGCGCTGGGTGGATTTGGCAAAAGGGGAAAATTCAGGACAACTGTAATAGCAAAATGAGTAAAATATAATTTAATAAATGAAGTAAAATTTAAAAAACTAAAAAGAATATACAGATGATGTATTCTAAAATTGTACTCCTGAAACCTATATAATTTTATCAACCAATGTCACTCTAATACATTCAATTTAAAAAGTTAAAAAAAAAGGGAGGTAGGCAGAGACAAATGTATTTGAAAAAATTAATTAATTTTAAAAATTAAAAAAAAAATAAATAAATAACATCAATAAACATTAAAAAAAAGAAAAAAAGAAAAAGTTAAAAAAAAAACAAAATTAGGAGTCAATATCCTGATGAATATAGATGCTAAAATCCGCAAAAAATATTAGCAAACTGAATACAGCAATGCATCAAAAAGTTCATACACAATGATCGGTTGGGATTTATTCCAGGAATGCAAAGTTGGCACAACATTCACAAATGAATAAATGTAATATACCACATAAATGAAATGAAGGATAAAAACCACACAATCATATCAATAGATACAGAAAAAGCATTTGATAAAATCCAGCGGATATCCATTTATGATCAAAACTCTCAGCCAAGTTGAATTAGAGGGAACATACTTAAACATAATAAAGGTCATATATGACAAACTCACTCCAGCATTATACTATGGGCAAAATCTACAAGCATTCCTCTTAAGATTGGGAACAAGACAGGGATGTCTGCTTTCACTTCTCTTTTTCAACATAGTACTAGAAGTTGTAGCCACACCAATCAGACAAGAACAGAAATAAAAGGCATCCAAACTGGAAAGGAAGTAGTATAACCATCTCTATTTGCAGATGACATGATACTGTATATAGAGAATCCCAAAGATTCCACCATGAAACTACAAGAATTGATAAATGAATTCAGCAAAGTAGCAGGATACAAAATAAATAACCAGAAATCAGTTACATTTTTATATACCAATAACAAACTAACAGAAAGGAGAATAAAGAAAACAACCCCATTCACAATTGCTACAAAAAGAATAAAATACCTAGGAATAAACCTAACCAAGGATAAAAGACCTGTGCTCGGAAAAGTGTAAGACACTAAAGAAAAAAGATGAAGAAGATACAAATAAATGGAAGCACATACTGTGTTCATGGATAGGAAGAATTAACATTAAACTGTCCTACTACCCAAAGCAATCTAGAGGTTCAATGCAATTCCTATCAAGGTTCCAGTGACGTGTTTCATGGAACTAGAACAAATACTTCAAAAATTTATGTGGAACCACAAAAGGCCCTGCATAAGCAACAGTGACCCTGAGAAAGAACAAAGTTGGCAGAATCACGCAACTTAATATCAAACTGTACTACAAGGCCATAATAATCAGAACACCCTGATAGTGGCATAAATACAGACAAATAGATCAATGGAACAGAATAGAGGGCCCAGAAATAAATCCACATCTTTATAGCCAATTAATACTTGACAGAGGAAGCAAGCACATACAATGAGCTACAGATAGTTTAGTCAATAAATGGTGTAGGGAGAATTGAACAGATACTTGCAAAAAAAAAAAAAAGAAAGAAAGAAAGAAAGAAACTAGGCCACCTTCTTACACCCAACACAAAAATAAATTCAAAATGAATCAAAGTCTTAAATATTAAACCCAAAATCATAAAAATCCTAGAAGAAAACAAAGACAACAGAATCTTGGACATTGCCTGTAGCAATTTTTTATTGGATATATCTCCCCAGACAAGGAAAGCAAAAGAAAAAATAAACAAATGGGACTATATTAAACTAAAATGTTTTTGCACAGAAAAGGGAATCATCAACAAAATAAAAAGACAACCCACAGAATAGGAGAACATATTCGTCAATGATACATCTGATAAGGGGTTAATAGCCAAAATTTACAAAGTACTTCCAAAATTCAACATCAAAAAACCAAACAACTCAATTAAAAAATGGGAGAAGGACCTGAATAGACACTTCTCCAAAGAGGAAATACAGACTACCAATAGACATATGAGAAGATGCTCAATGTCACTAATCACCAGAGAAATGCAAACTAAAACCACGATGATATACTACCTGTCAGAATGGCTATCATCAGTAAATCAACAAATTACAAGTGCTAGCAAAGATGTGGACAAAGGGGGACACTTTTGCACTGTTGGCAGGAATGCAGACTGGTGGAAAGCAGTATGAAGATACTTCAAAAAATTAAAAATGTACCTGCCTTTTGACCCAGTGACCTCACTTCCTGGAATATATACAAAGGAACCCAAAACACTAATTTGAAAGAACAAAAGCACCCCTATGTTCATTGCAGCATTATGTACAATCTCCAAGATATAGAAGTAGTCCAAGTATCTATCAATAGATGAGTGGATAAAACAAGTATGGGACATTTACATAATGGAATTCTACTCAGCTGTAAATATGAAGAAAATTTTACCCTTTGCAACAGTATGGATGGACCTGGAGAACATTGTGCTACATGAAATAAGCCAGTCAGAGAAAGACAAATACCATATGATTCCACTCATATGTGGGATCTAATGAAAAAACTGAACTAACAAGCAAGACAGAGACAGACTCATCGATGGAGAGCAGACAACAGCTAGTGTCGGTGGAGGTTAGGGGGTGGAGGTATTGAGCAAAAAGGGAAAAGGACTCTTGGATTGGACAGCAGTGTGGTGATTGCTGGGGAGGATATAAGGGGACTAAATGGTAATGGAAAAAAAAACAATAAAGATTAAATAAAAAAGAAAAGTTAAAATAAATAAATCACTATCCTAGACATTAACAAAGGATATTTGTGCAAGGCTGAGGAAGAGTATGAGAAAGGGCATCAAGATATCTCAACATAACTGGAATGTTTCAGCTTTCTCTTCAGGTAGTTATTTTAAGGATAATCTTTATTGTTGTTGTGTAATCTTAGCATTGTTTCCCAATCTTACTCCAGGCAACAACTGAGGGGTGTTCCATTAGACTGTGTGATCTTTAAGACCTCTATTTATAGTTTTACAAAATCCTTTGAAAGTTTTTCCTTACATCAAATATTGAGACATGGTTTCCAATTGTGACAAAGAAAGAATATATAGACTATCTCTTCTCTGTTACAACTAAAACCTCTGGGGAAAACACACACACACACACACATACACACACACACTACCTGAGCACAGTTTTAGTAAAGTCAGGCCAATTGTGAACTGGAATCAAAACTTTAAAAAGCAACATATTTGAGAATGAGTTTTCCAATTATTACCTTCTTTTTTCCTATGACTTTGCCCCAAAGGCAGGTTCCAAGTGCACAACTGCTCAGCAGCAGTCATACAGGCAGTTAAAACTCTAAAAGAAACCTCATATTTTTGCACAGAAAAACTGAGAAATAGGTACTCTGTAGAGCAGAGAGTGTAGGAGGAATTCTGGAGAGAAGTGAGCTGAAGGACAAGATGTCTCAATTGACCATGTAAGAAATTAGACAAGTCCCCAGTTTACCCTTGAGTTGCATATGTATGGGACAGACCAAAGCAGCATAGCAAAAGTTTTGAGAATTGAACTAAGTATTAAACTACCAACCAGGTCTCAGACTTACCTCTTAGAGATGCATATGTTGAACAGACCCAAAACAATATCAACAAGGTTTAAAAACTGAACTGAGGTTGGAACCACTGCCCACAAAAAGTAATTTTTTTTTTTGCTCTAACAATTAGCTCATTATTTATCCCTCCACTGGACCACCTCCCACACTGGGGAGGTTATTTGCAATGGGGTTATAAGCTGGAGCCTAAAGTCTGAAATCAGAGGTGCCTTCCTCATTCATTTTGGGCTTAGGTTGGGGCACTGTTGAGGCAGAATTAGTGTCTTCCTTTGGATACTGTGGAATGGGACTTAGGTACAACCATAAAGGTGGCCAGGAGGGCTGATTGCCAGGCTGGAAGACAATTTCTCCCAATAAAGGCATTTTTATCTAGATAGAGAGCTGGGAGTTGGCTGTAAATATTATAGGAGTGGGAGGAGTTAATTCAATGGAAGAGTTGAAGGTTGCAGAGAGAAATGAAGGGAATTCACTATACTGGGCCATCTGCAGGGTCAGTAGAGGCTGCTGTATGTATTTACTGTCTCAAGGGGAAGGTGACATAGACATCATAGCGAAAGAGGCATGTAGCAATTAGGCCCAATACCCCTTCAGTGATTTTGGAGTGGTTTTCTTTCTCAACAAGGACAGAAAAGGAGGTGATCAGGTAGATAATTGCTGCTGTGAAGGTTTGGAAGAAATCACTCCAGGGCCAGCTGATGAATGGTATCTTGGTGTGCAGGCCACTCGAGTACATGACAAAGAAGAAAAAAGCAAGATTCATCTCAACCCCCAGCAGAGAGGAGTATCCTAGTGCTGAGGCATTGAAGCAGATCAGAATCACCAGGCAGAATATAATAGCAAATAGAAGAATTCCCTTTTGGGTACATGAGAAGTTGGTGCAGGTGGCCCAGCCGCTGGAGACTGAGACATGCTGGGGATCCGCCATGGTGTCAGCCAGAGTCCTTGGGGGGCGCAGAGGATCTGCTCACTTGCTGGCAGGTTTGAGGATGCTGCGTACTCCGATGTTCTTCCTGCTGTCTAGAAAATGATGATAAGAACTTAGAGTCTGAAGCTTACCGGTTTGATTACCTGCTAAAGCAGTAATAATAACATTAATGATAATAATAACCTCCCTTTGAAAATTTTAACAGGATTCATGTCTACAAAATTTAGTATTCAAAAAGTTTATAAAACTATCCAAAATTACTTAATAATTAAAGGACAAGGAAAATGTGACAATCAGGAGAAAAGAAAATCAACAGATATCAAACCCAAGAAGACACAGATGTTGAAATTATAAGACAAAGACTTTAAAGCAGATACTAAAATAAACTCCATGAGGTAAAGATAAACACACATGAAATAAGTGGGAAGATAAAAGTTCTTAGCAAAGATATTAAATTTTAGAAAAAAACAAAATTGTATTAAAACATATGCTCTACTGAATGAGCTCAATAGTAGAATGAAAATGACAGAGAAAAGAGTCAGGGAACTTGGAGAGAGATTAACAGAAATTATTCAATTTGAAAAACAAGAAAAAGGATTGAAAAAACTGAATGGAACTTCAGGGAGTCATAAAACTACATCAAAAATCTAACATTTATAACAATAAAGAAATTGGTGCAGAAAATAATTGCTCAAGAGATATTTGAGGAAACAATGGCTGAACTTTCCAAATTTAGTGAAAGACATTAACTTGAATATTCAAGAACTTCAATGAAAGTAAAGCAGAATAAATACAAAGAAAACCACATCCAGACACATTATAATCAAACTACTGAAAACTAAAAGTAAAGAAAAAAAGTCTTGGGTAGGGTCCAAGTTGGTGGTATAGGAAGACGCTGAATTCACCTTCTACCATGAACACAACAAATGTACACCTACATATAAAGCAGTTTCTTCTGAGGAACAACTGAGGGAGGGCTGATTGAACAGCTTCTGCACAATAAATGAAATAAGGACCACATAGAGAAAGGTTGGAGAGATGGAGACAACATAATAATGAGAACCTTACCCTCCCTGAGTCCTGCAGTAGGGAGGGAAATTGTTGAGGGGCCCATGCACAGACTCACCAGCCCTGGGCACAGTAAAATTTATAAAAATATAAAAACAAACTCCATTAGTTTAAAGGGCACCTAGACTATATATAAAGGATATCAATTTACTAACCCTACAGTGTTTGCCAAAGAAATGGGGAACTGCTGGGATTATCTCCAGGATCAGAGGTGCTAGCAAACATCATGTTTTATGTTCTCTTACCACTTTAACAGCATAGGTGGGAGCACTATTCAGGTATTTGAACTGCCTTGACAAAGCTGCATGAGTCCTAAGCCTCTGGCACAAACCTACTTCAGCAGTTTCCCCCAAGGTTGCCCTAGCATTTCATTTCCCAGGACTCGCTGGCCTGTGCACACCACAGCTGCAGCAATTCTCCCAGGCTGTCCCTAATGTGGAGTGCCCTGAAACCCCTTAACTATGACTGGTCAAGCTCTGGTTATCTCACCATTGCAGTCCCAGTGCTGAGCACCCTTGGACTCACTGACCACTATTGCTCCAGCTTCATCTGAAACCATTTGACAGGTTTGTCAAAGCTGTCTGGCACAAATAGTCTACATAGGAGTTACTGCTCTGCAGGTCACTCTCAAGACTGGGAAAGGTAGCTGTTTTGCCTCATTCATAGAAACAAATACATAAAGTCAAACAAAATGAGGAGACAAAGGAATATGTTCCAAACAAAAGAATAAGATAAAACCTCGTAAAAGCCCTAATGAAACAAGTATATGCAATTTACCCAATAAATAGTTCAAAGTAATGGTTATAAACATATTCACTGAATGCAGAAGAGTGGAGGAACACAGTGAGAACTTAATAAAAAACATATAAGAAAGAATCAATTAGAGTTGAAAAATACCATAACTGAAACAAAAAAAAGCTAGAGGGAATCAACAGAAGATTAGGTGATACAGAAGAACACATCAGTGACTGATAAGATATAACAGTGGAAATGACTCAATTAGAACAGCAAAAATAAAAAGGAATTTTAAAATGAGGTTAGTTTAAGGGACCTTTAGGACAACATCAAGCATACTAACATTTGCATTATAGGGGTCCCAAAGGAAAAGAGAGAGAGAAAGGGGCAGGAAACTTATATGAAGAAATAATGGCTGAAAATTTCCTTAACCTGAGAAAGGAAACAGACACCCAAGTCTAGGAAGCACAAGAGTCTCAAACAAGAAGAGCTCCAAAATAACCACACCAAGACATATTATAATTTAAATGACAGAAGTTAAAGATAGAGAGTCTCAAAGGTAGCAGAGCAAAACAACTAGTTACATACACGAGAAACAGTAATTTAATTAGCTGATTTTTTCAGCAGAAACTTTGCAGGCCAGAAGAAGGTGGCAGGGTACATTCAAAGTACTGAAAGAGAAGGTATCAATTAGAACTGAAGGACAGATTGAGTTCCCAGATAAACAAAAACTGAAGGAGTTCATCACCAATAAAAAGTCCTTAAAAGAGATGTTAAAGGATCTTCTGTAAGTGAAAAATAAAAGAACATAACTAGAAATTATAAAATATATGGCCATGGCCATGTGGGTCAGTTTGTTGAAGTGTCTTCCCATACACCAAAATGTTGCAGGCTTGATTCCCAGGCAGGGAACACATATAACTTGGGTTTTGATCTCCGGTAGGGCACATATGGGAGGCAACTGATCAATGTATCTCTCCCTCCCTCCCTCCCTCTTTCCCTCCCTTCCTCTCTATAGATTATGTTTTAAAAAAATCTATAAACATATCCTTAGGTGAGGATTAAAAATAAATAAATAAAATATATGAAAAAATCTCACTGGTAAATAGAAATATATAGTAAAGGCAGTGGATCAGCTATTTTATAAGGTAGTATAAAGGTTAAAAGATAAAAGTAATAAAATCAGTTATAACTACAAGAAGTAGTCGGGAGATACACAAAACAAAAAGATGTAAAATATGATATCAAAAACGTAAAGTGTGAAGGAGTGGAGTAAAAAATGTCATGCTCCTAGAATGTGACCTAACTTAAGCAATAACCAGCTTTACATAAACTGCTACATATATAGGTCGATATATATCAACCTCATGGTAACCACAAACAAAAAACCTACTTTAGATACACAAAAATAAAGGGAAGGGAACACGAACATAAAGAAAACCATCAGAAGGCAAAAGACCAAGAGGAGAAGAAAGGAACAGAGAGCTACAAAACAACCGAAAAACAATTAACAAAATGGCAATAAGTACATACCTATCAATAATTAATTTAAGTGTAAATAGACTAAATGCTCCAATCAAAAGACATAGTGTGGCTGAATGGATAAAGAAAACAAAGTCTAATCTATATGGCACCTGCAAGAGACTCACTTCAGACCTAACAACACCTAGAGACTGAAAGTGAGGAGATGAAAAAGGATATTTCATACAAAGAAAAACAAAAAGAAATCTAAGATAACAATGCTCATATCATAAAAATTAGACTTTCAAATGAAAGCTGTAACCAAAGATAAAGAAGGGCATTATATAATGATAAGGGGCTAATCCAGAAAAAAGATATAATATTCATAAATACTTATACACTTAATAGAGGAACACCTAAATATATAAACCAATTATTAACAGACATATAGGGAAAATTGACAGTATTACAGTAATAGTAGGGGACTTTAATACCCCATTTACCTCAATAGATAGATCATCCAGACAGAATATCAAGGGGGAAACATTGGCCTTAAACAACACATTACATCGGATTCACTTAACAGATATATACAGAACATTTTATCAAAAAAGTGCAGAATAGACATTCTTTTCAACTGTATATGGAACATTCTCCAAGATAGGTCACATGTTTGTCTGCAAAACAAGTCTCAGTAAATTCAAGAAAATTGAAATTATATCAAGCATCATTTCTAACCACAACAGTATGAAACTAGAAATCAATTACAAGACTAGAACTGGGAAAAATACTAACACAATGAGACTAAATTACATGCTACTGAAAAACCAATGGGTCAATGAATACATTAAAGAAGAAATTAAAAGATACCTTCAGACAAAAGAAAATGGAAACACAACTTTCTAAAATCTATGGGATGCAGCAAAAATAATTCAAAAGGGACATCCATAACAATACAGGTCTATCTCAAGAATTAAGCTAACAAAAAATTCCCAAATAATCTAACTTTACTCCTAAAGGAACTAGAAAAAGAAGAACAAGCAAATCCCAAAGTCCATAGAAGGAAGAAAATAATAAAGATCAAAGGAAAAAATAAATGAAATAGACAATATAATAAAAAAATGAAAAGATCAGCCCTGGCTGGTGTGGATCAGTGGATTGAGTGCTGGCCTGTGAACCAAAAGGTCGTTGGTTCAACTGGCAGTTAGGGCACATGCCTGGGTTGTGGGCCAGGTCCCCAGTAGGGGGAGCTCAAAAGGCAACCACGCATTAATGTTTCTCTCCATCTCTTTCTCCCTCCTTTCCCCTCTCTAAAAATAAAAATTAAAAAAATCTTTAAAAAGAAGTTAATATCTTCACTGTGACAGTTAAAAAAAATCAATAAATATAAAAACTGGTGCTTTGAAAAGATAAACAAGGTATAAATTCAATAAAAAGATAAACAAAATAGGTAAACCTTTAGCCAGACTCATCATGAGAAAAGAGAGAGGACACAAAAATCAAATAAAAAATAAAGAGGAGAAGCTGCAACTGACACCACAAAAATACAAAGGATTATAAGAGACTACTACAAACAATTGTACAACAATAAATTTTTTAAAAATAACCTAGAAGAAATAGATAAATTCCTATAAACACACAACCTTCCAAGACTGAATCATGAAGAAATAGAAAATTTGAATAGATCATTTATAAGTAATGAAATTGAATCAGTAATTTAAAAAATTCCAAAAATC